TACTTTTATAACCCTTTCCAGCTTTATGCAAAGTCAACAATTCTTAATCGTAGGTCTTCTGAGAGCTCTTTTGTGCATGGCATCATTCACATCAGGCAATGCTTCTTGTGAAAAGCAAACCCATAACTGGTGTGTGTTTTTTATAGGGCAGGGCATCTGTAACCAACACCTCCAATCTCATCTCATTGATTGGACTCCAGTTGGCTGACATCTCACTCCAATTAGCTCTTGGAGATGTCATTAGTCTAGGGGTTCACATACTTTTTCCACCTGCACTGTGAATGTTTACATGGTGTGTTCAATAAAAACATGGCAACATTTCATTCTTTGTGTGTTATTAGTTTAAGCAGACTGTGATTGTCTATTGTTGTGACTTAGATGATGATCAGATCACATTTTATGACCAATTTGTGCAGAAATCCATATCATTCCAAAGGGTCCACATACTTTTTCTTGCAACTGTATATAAATATATAAAAAAATATTTAAATACACTGAACAAAATCATAAATGCTACACTTTTGTTTTTGCCCCTATTTTTCATGAGCTGAACTTAAAGATCTAAGACTTTTTTCTATGTACACAAAAGGCCTATTTCTCTCAAATATTGGTCACAAATCTGTCTAAATCTGTGTTAGTGTGCACTTCTCCTTTGCCGAGATAATCCATCCCCCTCACAGGTGTGGCATATCAAGATTCTGATTAGACAGCATGATTATTGCACAGGTGTGCCTTAGTAACTCTTAAGCATTTATTTTGTTTTAACTTCTTTTACTGTTTACATCTCACTTTTGGGAATGTGGGCACTTTTTCAAGTGTGCTATCATTTTCAAGAATTTGTGCTTTTTCCCTTTGAGAATTTTATATACTATGTGCTTTAAGGGTTTGCTCAAAATTTTTTTCCTATGCACTTAATGTATAGGACACTCTATTTATTGGTCATTATATATTGCACTTGATTGTGTATATGTTGTTAGATTGTGAATGTGTATCATACTAACACTGATGATTGATTAAATCACTTCTTGTTACAAATGTAATGACACTGTCTCATTGTAAATTGATAAAGGATCTTTAGTGAGCTGAAACATTGCTCTCATGACAGTAAATTGTCCATTTTATTACTGCCTAGTCCTGCTTGTATACAAAAACATATTTTCTAAACATAAATACATCAATACTGTTCAAGCTAGATACATTGTTACTTTTTGCTAGATACACTGTGATAATTCTAGATGGGTTGCAATAAATTGGCAGAAATAGCACTAACTTCAAATTCACTCAATATGTCGATACATTTTACACTTACATCCCTTACATTAAGGATGACAATGCTTTAACTCACATTCTTTATAAGAAATAACTCATAAATAAGAAAATTTATGACAGCATTCTTATAAGATTTAGAGGACTTTGCCTTTCTTTCTCACAGATTTCCTTTAAAAATAATATAACTATTAGCCTGCCTATCTATCTAGACATGCATATTATCTATCTATCCATCTGTCTGCCTGTCTATATCTATCTATCATCTATCATTTTTCACTCTTTTTCAATCTCCATTTCTTGATCCATCTGTCAGTCTTCTTGGCAGTGGAGGTTGGTCCATAGGGGCAGGTGGGACAGAGCATACCCAACTTTGGGATGTCTTGGCTTGGTAACTCTGTGTTAGAAAAAATATGCTTTAACTGACATAATTAGTTCTGCAGTCTCACCCTCCCCCAATGATGGCTGAAACTGTTGCAGAGAAAATGAAAAACTAATCATGTTAAGATTTTGAGTTATTGTTTTTAAAAAGAACCCATTTTCTGAATATAGGTGCCTCAAACACAATTAATCTACTCTAAAAAGATTTCTGATATCACCTATTGGCCTTTTGTAGGACTGTCAAATCCTAGTTAATCCTGCGTATTGTTCTGGCTTCTAGGAAAGTCATTGATTGAAAGCATTCGGAGATGAAGCCTGACATATTTTGCTGTGTCCCAAATATTGGTATTTAATTGAACAAGGCATGACACGTCATGGTTGAGCACATGGGGTAAAGGTGACAGACACCAAGTCATCAAGTGCCGAAGTCAAATTCTGGTGGTAAACTCTAGCCCCAACCTTCATTAAACTTCACCAGTCACCACTACTTTTTGTAATTTTTTGCATATCATTATTTTTCTACATTTGTATCTATCTATCTATCTATCTATCTTTCTGTGTGTCTACTGTCTTTCTCTCCCTGTATTCCTCCTTCTTGACCTATCTGCCTGTTTGCCATGACTGATGTTTCTGTCACTGATGTAATAAATATAAAATATAGAGATTTTGATTTTTTTTATTATTCCTCCTTTTTTTCCCCCTCTTGTGGTCACTTATCACTTCATGTGTGAGTGAAAGATGTATGTATGTATGTATCCATCTATCTATCCATCTCATGCCCAGTTGTCTGTCTGCCTGCCTATCTATTTATCGTTGCTTTTCTATTCTGATCTATATATATTCTGTATTCTTCTGTCTTCCAGCTTGTCTTTCTAGAGTTAGCTGCATATTTCCATCTGTCTGTCTGTCTATCTATCTATCTTTCTATCTATTATGATTATCATCAGCAGCAGCAGTATTCGTCTTTCAAGACTGTCTCTAATCTGTTTAATTTTAAGTAAAACTTAATAATAGTATATATTTTTTTTTTCTTCTATAGTTCTTTCTTTCTTTATGTTTTTACATGTTCCTATTCAGTAGAATAAAACCATACCCAGGTTCCTAGTTTCTATTGAAATGTTATAAAAACTGCAAAGTGTTTTATTTATAAGTGGTGCTAGTGTTTTAGAATAGATGTTCTATTGTTGCACTGCTGCTAATTAGCTGAGACAATAAAGGTGTGTGCTTATCAATGAGAGGGTGCTTTTTCTGGATATCCATTGTTTAATGCTAGCTAAGTGCAAATTGTTTGCTATATACGTAACAGTTTTTGACTGAAATAAATGAAGACAATAGCTCATAAACACATACTCACATAAACATACATCAATGAACCACTAGATGGCACACTTTCCATGTTCGTTCATAGCTATAGATTTTTGCTTTTTCTACTAAACATTTTAGTCAATCTAGAAATGGCTTTGAAACAAAGTTGAACATTATTTAAAGATTAAACTTTCATTTCTAGAGCAGACAATTTCATCATCTGTTTACCAGCATTGTAGCATAATCTAGTCATCTAGACAATTTTGTTACTTACAAATGCCATGAGTTTTAATCCCATCATGTAGACAACAATATTTCGACATTCTTTTAGAACCCTGTCATCTCTTTCAGCCCTGAAAAATAGCCCTTGAAGGATAATGCTGACAAACAAGCCTTGTGCATTGTCTAAAATAATATCATAAAGGTTTTCCAATTGTTATGATGAATTCTGCATGGAAGGTTTAGTGTGTCAATGCTTTACGGTTAGGATGCCATTAAAGACATGAATCACTATGGACAGGTATGGACTTAATTGTTCAGACTTGGAATGGGTTAGTCATAGATTATTCGCGTTTGGAACAGAGAACATCAATCACACACAAGATGTTAGTGTCTGATGTGACCCTGAGGGAGTTTATGGCTCATACATAGCCTGTGATTGAAAGAAACCCATCCCATAGCTTTCTACCTGAGGAATGTAATCCTAACGCAGGTAAAACCAACAGGTAACCTTCCATGTTTCGTGAGTCTACATATCCTATGATGGCTGCCGAGCAATGTAGGAGTTATAGTACAATGAGATTTTAGGATCTAGCAGTTGGATGGCCAGCGTTGGGTTAAAATATTGACCCCCCTCCATTTCCCCCCATGTTCTGGGAAATTACTGCGTAATTACAAGATGCTCTAAGCATGTATTATCTTGGGAGGTCCTTGGTGGTCTTCCCACGTACTTGTCATCATCTCACGTCATTATCAGGAAAAAAAAATGGAAAAGCAATACTTTCATATTCCAGCTTCCTAATATAGGGATTCCCCGAAGAGACCAGAGTCAAATGAACTTCTAATGCATGTTCTATCAATCCTGAAACACCACAAATTGCCCAAATCTGTAGCTAAGAGCTCACTAAAGAGGAAACAGATCAGTAGTTCTTCATTGAAGAACGTTTAGTGCAGATCTTCCTGTTCTCTGTTAATACGCAGTAATAACACAGCTAATAACATGATCCAAGCAACACAAAGAATGGGAAATCAAACATATGGATCATGGAAAGTTCTAATATGTATAATAATATTATGTGTGTGTGTGTGTGTGTGTTTTAACAAATCAAAGCCCGCACAGTTATGGATGTGGATTTCAGGTTCAGCACCACAATAGTGAACAGCTCCTTGCATTAACTCCTTGGAGATTCTGATAGTCATAAGTGACAAATTACAATTATTAGTCATTTAAAAAAATAAACATTAAAGAAAAACGCTCGAGATTAGATGAAACCTTTTAAAGATTAGTAATTTACATTTAATTGGCATCATATATTGATATTATTAGTAGTATTTATTACATTTGATACATATTATTGAACATTACATATTGTAAAATATATTACATATGTATACCATATCTATCTATCTATCTATCTATCTATCTATCTAGATACATCAAGCTATATACTATATATTATACACTGTCTGTAGATAGAAGATAGACAGATAGATGATAGATGGATAGATAGATATATAGATAGATAGATTATACATATATAATATATATTGTACATTTATAAACTTCTAATTTTGTCCATCTAGTCCTCTGTCTAGCTATATGTCTGTCTATCTATCTGTTTGTCTAATTTCTTGGAGTTTTTTTTTTGTTTTGTTTTTTTTGACAAGCAAAGAAAAAAAGATATGGATCTGTGGTTAGAATAAAGGGAAAATGCGTGTTGGTATATTTATAAGAAAACTTATGACTGTGATCGGATCATCAGTGGGGAAAGACGAGAACTGTTATTATGCTCCTGGAGGAATTGGTTTGATGACGTATTTTCTGATAGCGGATCATTACGTGACTTACACTCTGGAAAAAAAAAAAAAGGCAAGCTGTTTGATTCATGGATAAAAATCCCAGCAGCACAGCCCCTCAAACAATAGCTGGCATTTAAAGGTAATATACAGACAAACAATTATAAAGGGAGCTCTTCCTAAAGCAGTGTTTGCAGAAACATCTCTGCTTATTGCACACGCAGACAGAGACAGAGAGGTGCAAGACATATATATTTATATATATAGATCTCCATATATATGTGTGGTATACATGCAAGAAAGGAGGGCTGGTCAACTTGGATAGCAGCACAAGAAGGAAGAAAGCAGCTAGTGGAACGCCTCAGGAGAAGTATCTCAGAGAAGATTTCTTTGTCAGCAACTCAGCATCTCAGCCAAAGACTCAGAAAGAGTCTGCACCAGGCTCTCTGCCTCACTAGCTCTCTGCATTTTTAACATTTTATTTTCCTTTAGCAGTTTCTACATCATTATCATTTATTCTTTTTTTTTTTTTTTTGTCCACATACTTGTAGCCTGCTAGGGAAGTTACCCATCATCACACCTCTGTTGTGCTAGTCTCATTTGTTTTTGTTTTTGTTTTTTTCCTTAAAATCGATCCAACAGGAATCCCCACCGTTTCTTTGATCAGAATAAGATTTTCTGGACTTGTGATTTACATCAAACTTTTTTTTTTTTTTTAAATCGAAATCTCATTGACTGGTCAGTCAGTCAGTATCTGCTTATTGCAACTTGAGAGACAAGGCAATGCAATTCTCAATCTGACACCACAGACCCAGGGGGAACTTCCAAGACACTTGTCGGGAACTTGGAACAAAGCTCCTCTTTCCCTTTCTCTCTCGCTTTTCAAACGGAGTGGATTTTGTCAGTTTTATATGGTAAGTATATCACACCATTCTGTTAGATCAAAGCATGCACAGTTATAATGCTTATAGTTTCATTTTTTATTTATTTTTTAAGACTAAGGGGGCTGTGGTGTGTATAGATTTTAAAGAACGTGGTTACCTGTTAGTACTCCAGCTGCTGTGAGCTGCCTCTCTCATGATGCTCAGTCATCATCACGACTGGCTAAGCCTTCTGTGAGTTGCTGTCCACAGCAGCTGGTGTGTCAGAAGATTAAGCCATGACTGGCCGTCGGAGTTGGCACTATAGTCGCCCTGCCTGATTATACTCTGGTCTAATTGAGGTCAAAACACACATGGATCTGAGCTAATGAGAAGTGCTTGTTGAAAAATGTTTTCATCACTTGTATCCTCCGCAGAATGACAATGTGCAGGAAAGCTGTGCTCGCCTGGCTGCTGGTCTATGGCATAATGAGATGCAGTGTCCACTCCTCACCTGCTGCCCTCAAGTACCCAGCCATCAGGTAAGTACAAGGATACCTGGCTGTTAGAATCACCCAACACCTGTGTTTAAGCAGGGCAGGTAAACCATACCTCTGGGTATGGCTGGTTCTCAGACTAAAAACCTAAATAAACACAACGATGTTTTTTTTTTGTTTTGTTTTCCCAAAAGGATTCTGAAAAAGTAGATCCCCATCAGGTTTTGCAGTACCCCAATTCCCATCATGTTCTACCAGGGGCTTTAGCATCATGGGAGTTGTGGTAATAAAATAGCTGGGGATCTACCTTGTGAGCTCCTAAAATACAAAGAGTGCCTGAGCTTTTGCAGCCCAGAATGTCTGTAGAGGTCTCCCCTGGGGGTACATCGCTGGTGTGATTTTCTTTACAATTAAACCAGTATGAGGGGAGGGGGCAGGTAATGTCTGCATAGTATGAGATAGTATAAGACTGCAGGTGCTAGTACCTTGAATGAGCACCTGTAAGCAATCCCAGCAAAATATTCACAGACCAATAAGACATACAGGGAATTCCAAAAAATGTTGACACAGCCCTAATATAAACTCTTATTATAATTAGTCGACTTCTTTCTTTTTAAAAATGAACCATGGCGTGCAATTTTCTTTTTACATATTAGCTCGCCTCAACATATTTTTTTTTTTCTAAATAAGATCAAAGCCAAATACAGCCTCAGGCTACCTGTCCTGACACAATAAAAAAACCCACAATTGCCTATCTACAGACTATGTCATTATCAAGGCTGTAATATTGATTTTATGTTCGGTGATCACTCCAGTGATAGATGCTTATATTCCGAATGTCTCTGTATTATCTGATGTCAATTTATTGCAGACAAGTAACCAGTGACAAATTGGGAATTTAAGGCTCATTTTCGAAAATGGATTCAAATACATTGATCCGGTTAAAGACAGGGGATGCAGAATGCAGAACAAGCAATGCTGCAAATGATGCTGTTGACTAAAATTGAACCTGCATCTAGGCAACTCAGTTAGGAGATCATTAGATTAGATCATTAGCAGAAACACACAGGGAAAAGACTACAGAGGAAAAAACTTATATGTAGCCATATACTTAGTTTAGAATCTCCAAATATCTATTCTTTGTACAATAGTTAATTATATTACTAATCGGATAATGCATTCATTAATTCTGCTGGGGATAAATTAAATATGGCGTTTTAAAATGCAGAATTGTTATTTTTTTGGCATGTCTGGCTGCTACTTTTGGTCCAATTTCCCATCTGATCTGTTTTTTTTTTTAGTTTATGAATAATGCATCTGCTGTGAGTTTCAATCGCTCATGGTTTCTTTTAACACAGCATTATATCTGTAGTATTTTTATAGTCTCCTGTAAAATAAGGACATTCACATAATTATATTAAATATAAAAATAATTTGATAAATTAGTCTGATCTGTTTAGGGATGCATGATTGAAGTGAGTAAGTTCTATATAATATTGCAAAATAAAATAAAATACATTATTTAAAAAAAAAAAAAATCGATTTAATCAGTTAAATTTCCTATGCTAAACTGCGTATAATGTCAGACTGGCCCTGTTTGGGTGCATTGCCGGTATACCCACTTGTCACAGATATTCTGTACAGTACCCAATATCATTGGCCTGCGTTATGGAGAGTCTGACACAGCTAAACTATGATCCACATTTAGCAAAAGTAAAACACTTTCGAAACATTTATTATTAATAGAGCTGCTAGAGCGAACTGACGAAAATAGCTTACGGTGACCTACATCCCGGCAGATACAAAGTATATAGAAAAAAAGAAACTTAAGGAGGTACTTGGAATTGTAAGACAACGAAAATGGGATCAATCAGTGCCAGGATTCATTGAATGTCTGCCCAACTAGCCCTCCTCCCACATTGGCAATCTGAGGAATGCTAAGTGCTTTCTGTGCTTTAGTAAGAGCTATGTCTGATTTAATGTTTGGACAATGCTTGTGTGTTTCATTATTGTCTGTCTGTCTGTCGGTCTGTCTATCTCATTAAATTTACACATACACTGGCATGTACACACAAACTGGCAATATCACACATAGTTTGGTATACAGACACTGGCATACACTCACATTTACACTGGCATACACATGAACACTGACATATACACACACATAACATGGCATATACACATACATACACACACTCATTGGCAGTCACCCACGCATACACTTGCTCATACACACTGCATAAACACACACTGAAAAACGCATGCTCTAGCATGCACACATTAACATGTACACATATACACTGACACACACACACACACACACACACACACACACACACACTCAAACCAGCTCATTTTCTCTCCCCTCAGTTCTTGTACTAATGATTGTAGGATTTGGCAGCTCATTCTGGCCCATCCCCAACCTCAGGTCAGCTCACAGATGGGATGCTCTTGTTATTTCTCTCACGCCCACCTACAGATTGATGGGGTCTCTGGGGGTCTTTCTCCATCAGCGTCTGGCATCTCATCAACAATATTCAGGATAAAAAAAAAAAAAACCCACCAGTAATGTACACACATGAACTGAACCTCTTCCAGGGATTACATTGCTCTGAAAGGCACTGATCAAGTCATTAGGCATTTTCTGATTAATTAAGAGGCTGACAATTCATTCCTTGTTTTCTTTCTGTTTGCTTGTTAGGCTTGAAGATGATGTCTATGATGATGATGCGAACACACTTCCAGATTTTTCGTTCGATAACGATCCGATTAGTATCAGGAGTTCAGGATCGGTGTTAGACGATATGTACTCTTTTTATTATCCTGCGGAAAAGAGGTGAATTCAGAATTATTCATTTTAATATTTTTATTTTGTGCAGCCTCTCTCTAATGCAATTAAACTGAACTAAATCGACTTGTTCCATAGTCACAAATAAAATCTGTAAACACGCTACCATAAGAACATTGTTTCTGTTTCATGTCATGGAATACTGCAAGAGTTAAACTGCATCCAATTTGTTGAACAGAAGATGCACATTTTAAGGGGGGATGGAAATTTATGGAAATTTTAATGTAATTCAGCGCTAATCAGGTGGCATCTTGCAATTAGGCAGCATTTCTTGGAATTAAAGAAATATATATGTTTCACTGTGACAGAACATTGTGACACTGTGATTGTAGATGTAGGAGGAAGGGATGTATATCTAGAATAAAACACATGAACCAGAGTAAAACATGACCCCATGATAAATCACTGTGGAGATAATCAGGAAACAGCTATGGACAGATGTACCCTTCCTTACACACAGACAGAGACAGACACAGACACACAGACACACAAACACACACACACTCTCTTTCTAGCTCTCTCTGTATTGAGATATGTTCGTTTGGTGAAGTAGAAAAAAAAACGTTAATGTCACTATTCTAGAAATCATATATTTTTTTTTCTTTTAATTTACTTTTTTTTTTTTCTTTGCTGTTGTCAGACATGCTGATGATCTATTAAGCAAAGCCTATAGGAATGTGCTGGGACAATTGTCTGCGAGAAAATACCTGCATACCCTGATGGCCAAACGCTTAGGGTAAGCTTAAACTGTTAAATCCAAGTAAATATTTGACAAAAAAATAAAATAATAATCCTGCAGTATAGGTGGTGTTTAACCCTTCGCTGGCCAGATGAGTTTATATGCAGAACGTTTAAGATTAAAAAAGATATTGATTTTTTTTATACTAAATTATCCTATAGGGAAGTCATATATATATATATATATATATATATATATATATATATATATATATATATATATATATATATATATATATATATATATATATATATATATATATTTCATCACCACACCCAATTAGCTGCACAGCAATTTCTTCCCACCTCCAGTCTTCTGTTAAATAGGCTGAACTACAATAGATCATTTTTTTATTGTTGAGAATTGTAATGTATCCCATTATAATTGATCCCCATTGCGCTATGACACATCCTGCAGCCTCCTAGTGTGTACCTCTTGCAGTGTACATTTCAGGGTAGGGTAATATTTTAATATAGCCCATGAGACAGCCCTGCATTTTCATAATGATTTATTCATGTGATGAATATATTGTTTCTGGTCTGTCGAGTTCAATTACCAAGCTACCACGTCACAACATATGAATCCCTTTTAGCTTTTAAAACCTAGGATTTCAACTTGTAATAGATTACTTGATAGCACACACACACACACACACACACACACACACACATATATATATATATATATATATATATATATATATATATATATATATATATATATATAGCGACCCTGCATCTTAAATACTTGCTTGGTTGAAGGAAATAAAGCTTTAATATCTGTTTCAGTGTAGGTATATGGTGAAATATTAAGCATTTATTATCTGAAATGGTTTCCATTAAAGTCTGAGTATCGATCTGTATATATTGGCTTTTCCAAGATTCTATTTTAAGTTGTAAATTGGCAAAGCACACATAACAGCCTATTTGTGTATATAGTACATTGTATTAGATACACTATGGCTGTGGTTAGGTTGGGAATCTTTAACAAGTCAATGCACTTGTGCTAACAATGTTGTGATTAGCAAGGGTTTTATTAAATATGCCCCAGGACATTTTTTTATGGTTTGTACATTAAGAGGAGATAGGTTCTGATGAAGATGGTACCCTGTACCACCTTAGTCTGTATTGTAGAAATGTAATAATGATTGGTTTCTTTAATATGCTAGACCCTACACCTGGTCTAGCCCCAATCAGTGCAATGATAGCCAGCTACATGTCTGGCAGTGAGAACACAACCCTTTTCATGCTATTAGACAGAGACCCCAGATGCAATTATGGTAGCAAAGACAGGAGTCAGGGCAGCCCTGTAGTGATTGGTAGTGAGACAGAGGCCTTTGGGACTTGTCTTACAGGAGGATGAAGGCATAGCCTTTGCCTAATGGAGCCTGGGCAGCACTGTAGCAGATGTTTGTAGTCTTTGTTCAAGATTTACACAGCAATAATTGGGCCTGACATTAAGATATTTTCTCCCTCTTTCAGAAAATGATAAGACATCATTCTGGTGAAAGGAAAAAAAAAAGCATTTGCTGATTTTTGACACACTCCTGTATAGCACGGTGTATGCTTAAATATTCACAAGCTGGAGGTGGTAAAAATAGAACCTCTACTGCAATAATTTATGGCCTTTGTGTTACAAGGCATTTTGATTGTCATTCCATCTGTTTGGGACTAGTGTAAATCAGTTAGTGTTGGAATAAATCAGATCATAAACATAAAATATGGAGAGAATTATAAAAATGATCTCTTATCTACAGATTTATGTAAATGCAGTGTTTAATTGTGAGATAGAATGTGATAAAGAAACACAATAGGGGAGGGCTTTGCATCATTAAAAATATCTAGTTTATAAGTCATATTTCTGAGTCAGGGTCTGAAAGGACAGTTCTAGGGAGCTTGCTTTGTAATGTGTGTGAGAACACTATAGGGAATTTCCTAAATAGGGGTAGGAGCTAATGTGTTCTTGTGGTAAGGAAAATGTATGTATTAGTTGAATCAGCAGAGGTGCTTTCTTAAAGGATTTAGATTAAAGTGAAGAAAACGAGACTGTGATTGCCTTGCGTGTAAGCATTATACCTTCCTTATAGCATTAACATTGGTTTCAGAATTCTGCAGGTAACCTTTTAATGTGCAATAAATGTTCAGTGTCAGATACAAAGTTTATTACAATACTGGCAGATCTGGTGATTCTGGGTCTGAACTAGATCCAAATAAAAAAAAACAGCTTGGGAGATGGGGAATGATACAAGTGGATACAATCTTAGTGTAGACATAACCAGTTGTGTCCAGAAAGGTATTGAAATTACTGCTTCATGCCAGTGAGGGCAATACTAAGGAGGACAATTTCTATCATTTTCCTTCTCAAGTCCATGGTAGGATGAAGATAACTTGCTGATAGGAACAATGATACCAGATATTTGGTTATCCAGACATGCCTTAACAGTCTCAGGGATGATCTAAAGGTAGAACCCTCAGATGATGTAGAACTGTGATGCTTTGCCAGCCTATGATGCAGTGCCATCCTTTACAGTGGCAAAGTATCATGGGAGTTGTAGTTCTGCAAGTTCTGGGCAATCTACCCTTCGGCCACCCTTGCTTGGCATAATTGATGTAGTAGACAGAGAGTCCCCAGTTTTTTGCAACTCTTCCTTTTTTGCCATTGCAGTGCAGTGAGTAGCAGCCTGGAGGATGACTCAGAACCCTTATCCAAACGACACTCAGACGGTATCTTCACTGACAGCTACAGTCGCTACAGAAAACAAATGGCTGTCAAGAAATATTTGGCTGCAGTCCTTGGGAAAAGGTATAAACAGAGAATTAAAAATAAGGGACGCCGGGTAGCGTACTTGTAGCGATGAGAAGGCAGCCTCTCCCCTGTATACAGCCCCAACAAACCAAGTCACACCAAACTGACTGAACAATCATCGCTCCTGTGTTATTTACAAACATGTATTTATGTATGAAGTAAAGCCATTAAATGAATATTTTGATAATAATATCGTTTTTCTTTTGTACAAAAAAGCACTAGAGAACGTACAGATCTACTTTGTGGAATACATATATATATAAATTCATAGAAAGTGTGCAGAGAAAAAATAGAATTCGCACGAGCTGTTTATGTTTTTATATATAAAGAAACAAAAATATATAGACAAAAAAAGACAATCATTGTTTTGGATATTTTACTCCTATTTTTGTAACAGAAATTAAAAGGATAGTATTTTTATCCACGACAGGATTGAAGACAATAGTTCTGAGCAGACATTGATGTACTTGACGTAGACATTGATGCCCTGATCCAAGGGGATTAAATAAAATTTATAATTTGAGGAAGCAGTGAATCCCTGAGTAGGGCTTATTTAAGGCAAACGTACATATGATTTTAGAGGTCTGCTAAATATATATATATATATATATATATATATATATATATATATATATATATATTTGAAATAACAGATTGCATTCGTAGCTTTTTTGGACAAACAGAATTTTGGAATGACCAGCCGTCCGGAGAACCTTTCTTTCTCATGTTTAAAGCATTTCTGGCTTTAAACTCTAGAAAGGGAGGTTCTCCAGCAAGCTTGTCATTCCAAAATTCTGTTTGTCCAATAAAAAGAATGTATTACAAGATACTAATTGAATCTGTTATTTTACATCTGAATCACTGTCCTAATGTAATAGAGGTACAATCTATACTCTAATATATACAGTATATAGTAACTCTAACTCTAGTAAATATATATTTTTATATACATATATAAGAGTATATATATATATATTTATACTCTTATATATGTATAGTAGAGGCGCTGCCATCCTGATATATGCTAATTATTCTGCTTTCTTAAATCCCACTTTTGCATGTATTTATGTATTATAACACTGATGTTCTAAAATCTAATTCTTCCGTGCTGAATTAACAGCTCTATCGAATTATCAGTCTTAGACTGACATAGAAAAAAATATCCCCATCCTTCCCCATATTTTTCAATTATTAACTTCAGTTAACTGATTGAAGAATACAAAAAAAAATGCCAAAAGTTTGAATATATAGACACTAGAGAAAGGGGAATAGTAGTCTTGGCACTGCAGATATTTGTTAACTCAATTTCCCATAATAGCCTGCCTTGAAACTGGTAGAGCATCATGGGAAATGTAGTCCACACACATCTGCTGTACCTAGAATAGCAATCCCTAGAGAGAAAGAATGGGAAAAGGTACAGCACAATACATAAATTGAACTGCCCAAAAATGAAGTATGTGGTTCTGGGCCTGTCTTGAGAAGTGAGATGCTCTGTGCATTTCATCTTAGGTCCATTACCCAACTGACAATGGGCAGCTTCACAGTGGAACTTGAAAACAAAGTACAATGTGTATGTCTCCAGTGCTGTCCATTTATTTATTTCATCATGTGACAAGACCAAAATATCCTGATGACTCTTGTTTTTTTAAAATATTTCTTCATTGATTTTGCTGTCTTCTTGTAGACTTTTACTACTCATCTTCTTCAGTCCATCACTGTTTTGGTAATGTTTTTCTGAATTAACTTATTTTATTACCTGTGAGCACCTCTTAAGTTCTCTTTTCTGTTGTGTTTTATGCAAGCTCTTATTGTAAAGTTAGGAATCCCTGTTGTAGCTATTACTAAATAATTATGCACTACTACTAAACTTTTGTTCTTTGTTTTTTGAGTCTTAAAGGTAACAAAAAAAAAAGAATGTATTTTTCTACATTATGGCTTGATGCTTAGTAAAAGTTATTTCATAAAACAACGTCTTGTTATGTCTAGCGTTCACAAACTATTAAAGAACAAATGTAGTTTTAACTAATGCTAATCCAGCAAAACAAATTTATATAGCTTCATGTTGTATGTTATAAACCGACACCATGCTATTGTCTGATAAAAAAAAAAATGTATAGAATCCCATGTATATACTTCTTTTTAACCTTCTTCGACCTTCATTTATTTTGAGAGAAAACTCCATCCGAGTCTATAGCCAGAGCAGGAGTTGTGAGAGAAGAGTTGAGAAAATATGGCAGTTTCCTTTGCTAGACAGATCAGAATGTGAATGTGGGTGATAAGTTGGTTACCATGCTGTCCCTATAATCCAAGATGCCTTCTGCACTGCACTGTTTCCTGTAAGCATTTTTCTGTTAGCAGTCCAGCAATGAAACAGTTAACGAAGCGAACCGTTTAGTACAGTCAAAACACTTGATGCCCTGGAAACTACCCTGGATCTCTGAAATATCCCCTCATTAACCTTTCTGGCGCTGGACTGCCAGCACAAGATGCTTAGAGGGAACATCGCTGCAGGGATACGACTGCATTATAATTTGATGAAGCATCCTCTTTAGAATGCAAATGATGTGGTCACCTAGCAGTGATTAATCATGGATTCTAGTCTTGACACTTGATATTCCCTCATGGGTTAAACATTCCACTGCCTTCTGAACCCATTGCGATCAGTAGTTGCCCATAGGCAATCGGTCTGTGCTCGAATCCTATGAGTTAAAAGATCAGTCCACCTTTAATTTTGCATTCCCCTCAGGCATTGTGACGTAGGATGCAGTTTGCAGCTTAATGTGCCTTCCCTTGCCTTTTAAATCGCCACCAACCACAGATGGCTGTTTTAGTGGCCCTGCAATGCTGCAACCCATCAGCTTGTATTTAAATTTCCATATATTATGTATTCGCTAATAGTTGGCAGGAATATTGTATTATGTGTTAGGTGTAGTGTGTTAAAATGTTTTTTTTTTTTTTTTAAATCCCCCCTTGAGGGTACAGATGAATCAGCAATTCCTGGCTCATTCTCGTGGCACTCAGGGGGTTAACCTTCTGTAGATGAGTCTAGTGATTAGATAAGCCTTTATTTTAAGTAATCAAGTAGCTAATCTCTTTTTGTACAATTGACAAAAGCGCCAACAGCCTTACTAAATTAAGCAGATTTGATATACATTGATCTGCATACATGTAAGAATCTATTTTGTGTGCAACATATATTTAAATTAACTAGAATATATATATATATATATAAATACACACCTATATATAACTAGGAGATTGATAAATGTTATATAAAGTGTGCAAAGTTTGTATAATAATAAATTTTTGTAAACAATGCAATTTCGTCTAATGTTTGAAAAGAAAAAAAACAAAACAGATCAACACTTTGATTATCGTGCGTTAAAGTAAAGCTTTAGTTAGATTCTTTTTTTTTAATTGTTAATTGGAAATATATATTTTGCTTTGGAATCTTAAAAATAGCCTATCTGTTTACAAGTACACCAAATCACTGGCATATTTTGTAATTGTTAATACCACTTAAATGTTTCATTTGTTATTGTAAATATTAGAAAGTTATACAAAGTAGCTATGTTTTAAATTCATTATGCCAAATCAGTTATTAAATATGCAGTTGCTTACACTGATTTTGAACTTTCTCCAAGTGATCAAGAACGTATTCATAGCTTAATTCCTTTCATTAACCATTTCAGAGACAAGGGGGCGGGGGACAGACAAAAAGTCCAAATATTTTGTTATTATTCCCTATGGCACGCATCTTAGATTTAAAGAAAAAAAAATTATTAAAAAAAAGTCTATAAATTATTGTTCAAAGTAAATTGTACATTTCCTTCATTGTCCTAATAAGTCATGAATTGTGACATTTGTCATGGGAACGAATTTGTTTGCACAGTACACAAGGAGATGCAGAAGATATATGATACACTTTGCAAAAGCTTAATTTTAACCTCTTCCCTGCAATAAGGCTCTCACCGGGAATCACGTGATCTGATGGAGGTGGAAAGGGGCAGAGTTTGCAATATATTGGATGAAGACTATGCCAGAACATATTATATTGTATGGAGATTAGATTGTATGGAGATTAATTTCCATGTGGAATGTGGATCTTGGAACTGGGTTGAAAAAGAAAAAAAAAAATGTTGAATACTCTCCAAAATTTGAAAGGGCAGCAGTACATAGCCTCAACAATATTACTTTGACTTATTATATTTTAAAGTCGTGATCTCCCCCTCTCTCTTTCTCTCTCTCTCTCTGTCTGTCTCTTTTTCTCTCAAACGTTATTATGAGAGTGAAAAACGATTCTACCAAGTGAGGGATATTCTGGCAAAATGTTCTGTACCATAGTTAATACTTAAAAAAACATCAACAACAACTTTCTAAACAACAGTGCAATGCACAGCCTCAAATACATTATTGGGAGTTTTATTTTAAAGTAATCTAATTCATCTTTTTGTGTCAAAAACACGAAAACACACTCTCTCTCACTTTCATGTTATTACGAATGTGAAAAAAAAAATAATTCTGACAAGTGATGGGTATTCTAAAACTTTGAATAAAATGTTTACTACCACATGCAAAATTAAAAAAAAACAAACAATAAAAAAAACGAAAAACCAAACAAAAAACACCCAGCAATTACAAACTGGTATAGAGGTAAAATTAAATAAGCAAGTTTAATAATTTGGTCCAAAGTACTGCAGTCCTAAGACAAGTAGACGATCCTTAATTCTTCCAAGCAACGATTGCATGAACTCCTTCGTTCTAGATTCCCCTCTGCTTTTCTAGACTCGTGTTGTTAGAGCCAGTTGCTTGGATACCTACCTGTAGATGCTCTTAATATATTGCCACACTGACCTTGTAAATCACCTTGAAGCCTCCTACTGTACGTTCAAAGGCAGTTTTTTATTTTCTGTTGAATGTGCAACATTTAAAAAGAAATATAATCTTTCTCTCTTTATATACCCTCAAACATATATACTGATAACTAATATACTAATATGGGCATTAAACATCTAACATGAAAATACAATTATTACCCTTTTTCCAAATTGGAAGAAAACCAACTTTATTTAAAAGAAAAAAAAAGAGTAATTTTTATCCACTCAAATCAAGTCCTACATTTCTATGACTCAGAGAATGATAATAAGGACATAGAGAACTCTTTTATATGGTTAAATAATTCTACATATTCATGACTGCAGAATAACTGATCATCACTTGACTTGGCTTCAAAAACAACTGAAATCACAAGGAAAAAAAAATGTAAATATATCCTAACTGTATTCAGTGCTGCAAATATGAAAATCTGTCATGCCAACAAAGTGACAACGTGATTCTGGGTTAAAGATGAGAAAAAAAAGATAAACAAACATCTTTCTCAAAACGAAAACAATATATTTATCTTTTGCACAGTTCACTTTGATATTCATTGTCATCTGAGTTTATTGGTGCACCATTTTATTAAAAAACTGCTGTTCAGAAGACAAATTAATTAGACAGAAATTTATTCATAAAACATTGACATTTATTTGTTAAACTCCTACTCACAAATACGACATTTGGAATCCCTGATGAAGTAACAGGTGTTCAATGTGTCAGGGACACAGGGAAGTGGGCGGGCCAGTGAGTATTTTAATAGCCATATGGTAGGTGACTGAAATCACTTCTATGTCTATGTGACTAATTACTCCATGTTAAAGGTTAATATGCATATATTAATGAAGAGCTATTGGATCAAGGGGTGTAATATCCAAGAAATATTACAGCTGATATTTTGGTGCATTTGAAAGACTTAAAGCTAAATTTCTGACATTAGATGAAATAAACAACAAAAACAAATATGAAAAAAACAAGTAAAATATCCCTGAAATTTGTCAGAGGCAAGAGGGTATTAATGTAACTTCTGATTAATTATATAAAATCCCTTTTTGGAAAAAAAAAGAATATTTTATATCTACTTATATCTACTTATAGAATATTCTATATCGACTTATATCTACTTTAAAACTTAATGCAAGAAACACGTTATCAATGTGTGAGTTCATCACACAGAAGGTTACATTTATTCTAGACATTCAATAAACTCTAGAATAAAAGAAACTTGGTAAACCTGCTCGTCTGTTGGGGAACAAATAGAATGTGTTTTGGTGACGTCATTCACACCATGGCTTCCTTACCATTCCATGAAGAAAAGGCGTCACACTGGCTTCTTTTTGTGATACTTTATAAAAAGAATTCTTTCACTCATTCATATTGCAGTGCTGTGTTGGGAAGACTCCAAAATGACACACCGATATCTCTTGCTAAAATGAAAACACTTATACCTAATTAGATGGGTGGATCAGTGCTCAAGTATAATTGAAAGATTAATTCTATCCAATTGGAATCATAATCACCTGTCACCTGCCTTGGTACATTTTGCACAGAAATTAATCAATGATTATGTCAATATGTAATGTAAAGGAATTTACAAATAAAACAATCACAACTTGAAATGAATATTAATCAAATTATGTCTAATTTTCCATTGAATTTAAAGTGAATATCAATACACAATCAATTATGAAGACAGTTTCTTTTTTAATAAAAACAGCACTCATTGTAATGATTACAGCTCTCTGTTGTGGTTATGGTGCAAAGAGTGTCCTGGAGCCACTCCCAATTTAACCAGTCCAAATATTTTGGAGCAGATTAACTTCAAACCTGGGGCTTATGTCCCATGGTAAAATCGATGTAAACATCTAAATGAATTGATCCATCTAAGATTTACCTGTGGTCAATAAATAAGACTCCACATGTAAAGCAGTTTGTTCAAGTATGGATTAAAAGGAATTTGATTTGGATAAATGGGTTAAAGCTTATTTTGCACAAATCTACTATTCACTAAGTAAAAACTTCAATGCCCCCTACTCTCCAAAAATAGTACATCTACTGTTTAGTAGAGATAACCCCCGTGAAAACATGCATGAATGTAATTGTGATTTTTTTCATTTGGGGTATAGCTTACAAAATCTGCAGATCTCTTATGGAAGGAAGATGGGTAGAGACATGGAAGCAAGGGGTGCAGTCTGGTGCATTGGTTGCAATATATGTGCTGTGGAAAGGGTCAGTAAGAGTGAAAAGCTGCAGAGAACATGGTACAAAGAGGAGCAAAGAAGTGGAGTGAACCACGATAACCAACTCATCTAGTCTAGTGGGAGTGAGAACTTCATCTAACCACGGTGATACTAGATAACATGTGTAACGGAGCTTCCTGTACCCCGGTTGGGTACCTCTGCCGATAGATGCTCCTAGTGCTCCCCAAGGAATCCGTGCACTCCTCCAGACACCATAAGAACTGCAGACCCCACAACCGCCGCAACTTGGTTGAGGTCTCGCTGTCTCCTACCCACCCTGGACCTACGACAAGGCTCCAGGTTCCAGTGGGTGAACCTCTCTTCCTCCAAAGAGTCAAGCAGGCATAGCTCTTACAAGAGCTCAGAGAATCCAAGGGAGTATATTGATTATAGCAATCCCTTGTAGTGATATAGCTGTCCACTCCACACAAGAGACAAGATACAGTTGAGGGTGAAGAGGAACTCAGTTTTAATGGAGGCACACTGCCTTTTATGCAAGTTTCCCAACAAGGGTGACACCCACATGGACCTTGTTGGGCACAGGGACACAAAGTTAACAAACCAATAAAAACAGAGTTATACAGTGAGACACTCCCATACAATATACACAATCCCTCTCCTCTGCCTGGGTGATAATTAAGGCAGATAATGCATTAACTTAATTATCTCCAGGCAGAAAAAACACATTTTTATAAAGTCCCATAAGTACCCAAAACACAACATATACACATAAATGTTACATCCCCTGATAGCCCTGATCAGATTAGGGGTTCAGAAAGTTTATGGAAGTCATAGTTTTGCCCAGGCGTAGGCATGGTCCCATGCCCAAAACAATTCCATAGAACCGCGGCTAAGTGCCACTGGAGGACGGGCAGAAAATAGTTCCAGGGCATTCACGGCTAAGTCCCCATGAAGTCTATTCGCGGTTTTGGTCCATGTGACCAAGATGGCCGCCACCACGTTTTGAATGGCGGCCACTTCGACTATTCAGGAGTTTGAAGTGCCACTTCAAAAGTTCGAACTGTGGCTATAAAAATCCAAAAAGGCATGAACAGTGATTTAAAGTTTTATCACAGGGGACATAGTCACAGGGTAGGAGGCAGGCAAGCAGGCCCCTCCAAAACCTAGTGGTGAAGTTGCTTTTGTCACAACATGTATGAGAGGTTCTTGTCATTGATATGGTTCAGAGTGAGTGGAACCCTGAGATAGGCATGGAAAATGGATATATTCCCTGTGTACTAGGTGGTAGATGCCTATGATCTGCCCTAAGGTCTTCGTGTTATCTTGTGTTAAAGAGAAACTCCAGTGCCAGGAAAATAATCCATTTTCCTGGCACTGCAGGTCCCCTCTCCCTCCCACCCCCCAATCCCTGGTTGTTGAAGGGGTGAAAACCCCTTCAGTCACTTACCTGAGGCAGCTATGATGTCCCACGTCGCTGCTTCTTCCTCCGCGCCGCTCTTCCCTGTGATTGCGTCGGCCAGTGTGCGAGACTGATCCTGCCCACCGGCCAGGGAGACCTAATGAGCATGCTTTTCAATGCTTTCCTATGGGGAAATGAGCGATGCTGGAGGTCCTCACATAGCGTGAGGATGTCTAGCGACGCTTTAGCACAGGTTTCCTGTGCTA